TCTCTCTCTCTCTCTCTCTCTCTCTCTCTCTCCCTCCCTCCCTCCCTCCCTCCCTCCCTCCCTCCCTCCCTCCCAGACTGGCTTTGCTCTACTTTCCCAATGTGCCAGTGGGGCTGGCACTTCGAACATGGATAGATGGATGGATGGATAGAGACAAACAGACACAGAGAGACAGGTAGGTAGGTAGGTAAGGGCCCTTCCAACATAGAGTTGAATTCCCTTGTATATTTCAGAAATCAGAAACTCAACTTTAGATACAAATATATATTTTCTTTGAACATATACAGTTTGTGCTATCAGTGGCCATATAACCTCATAGATATCTGGACTGCATAAATTCAACATTGTATTTGTGTGAATGATAAGGAAATACAATAAAGACTTGGGAAATTTATTCAGGAATAACTTATCTTATTCAAAGACATTCTGACCATTACATCAGCAGTTAAGAATAACCCAGCACCCTAGAACACAGGTGTCAAACTTGCCATGTCACGTGGCCGTAATGTGACATATCACAACATTTTTTTGTCTTCGTGGAGCTGGGGTGGGTGTGGCCTCTGCATGACGCCGGTTTGTCACCCCTGCCCTAGAAAGTATCCCAGAGAAGTAGCATTGCTTATTCACTTTGCATTTGTTTATGGTTTGCAGTTTTTCCCCCATTGTAGTCCTTTCCTCATTAGCAAAGAATTGATAAATGACCCAAAACTATATTAGCAGCTTCTCTATGATGCCATATGATTTTTCATCCATGCAACATTATGTCTTCAGCATTGCATGGACATATCACAATATTGGGACTTTATTGTGAAGGCCCATTGACTAAATTCAATGTATGAAGATCAGAATTCTCTGAAACAGATGGTGATTACCAGAGAAAGGGAATGTTTCAGTGCATTTGAAAATGTTATCCACTTTCCATTCAGGTCTTTTAAAGAAGTCACACAAACTTTCAATAGTGAAGGGCAGTAATATTGTCTTCTTTATTTCCTAACTTGTGTGTTTTTGATGTCACTGGGATTCATCTGATGAATGAATTCCACACCCTCTACATGTGCGATACATCTCACGCCTGACATTTTCACCAGCTAGCACATAGATAAATGGGTCTGCAATGCTCTTGGCAGTGGAAAAACACAGAAAGATCACAGAAGTAGTATAGATGTTTTTCTCAAATGTGCATACCTTATCTCGATACTGAAAGAAGATAATGGCTCTTACAAGGAGCACGAAATGGTAGGGAGCAAAGCACAGTATAAATACAGAAATGATGGCAATTGCCACGTTTCTCACTTTAGCTTTCTGGTCTGGATTGAGGCTGCAGCTGGTCTTAATACTTTGAAAAATCCTGTAGTTTGTGAAAAGAAGGACCCCCAAAGGAATGAAAAATCCCAAGAAGAACCGGCTGATATTGTAAAGGGCCAAATTGACATCGAGAGGAGTTTCAAAGCAAGTTTCTGTGTTTTCTTCCTGGATATTTTTGTTGAAAAACACAGGGCAATAGATCACAGCAATGGTGACAAAGAAGGCGACTGTGACCATAGTAGCAGTCCTTTGGGACCTGAAACATTTCCCTCTGCTTTCCAGTGCACGTACCACAGCCTTGTAGTGATCGATAGAAATGCAGCACAAGAGAAGAATGCTGATGTAGATGTTGCAGAAAAAGATATATCCAGTCACTAGGCATGACGGTCTCCCCATTTTCCAATGATGGTCATTTTTCACGTAGATGATCCAGAGGGGAAGGGTGCTCAGGTACATAATGTTGCACAGGGACAGGCCAAACAGGTAGATGGCTGTGATATTTTTTTTGTAAATTTGCACAAGTGTCACAAAAGCAGTTAGGCAATTAGCTGGTAGGCCTATCGCAAAAATTAAGCTGTATACTACAATCAGGAGCTCGCGGCTTTCTTCAAATGGCAGGTCTGTGGAATTGCACATACTGCTGATACCCATGAGGTCATTCCACATATGCTTCTTTCATCTGGAGCCCCTGTTAATCTAAAAGCAAAACAGGTGTTAGCATTCCAGCAATTGCTGTAATTAAATCATGATTCTCAAGCCAAACTTCAAAAAACTTCCAAGGATTTATTAGAGGCAACATATTGGCACTGCCCTGTATGAAGCCAACTCTGGCATACGTAATTTATAGTCACCTGTGACACTGTTTCCCCCCTCCCTCCTGAGTGTCTCATAAACCAGATTCTCCAATTGAGCATGTTCACAGGCTGGGTGTCATCATTCACGTTCTCCAATTAAATATATTCGTGGGCAAAACCTCTGGTATTTTAGTTACAATCTTTGAAAGGTAAGAGTTGGAATGTACTTTCGCTTTCAACTGCTGCTCCAGATTTCCTTCCTTCCCCCTCCTTTTTATGGCAACTACTAAAACAGGCATAGGAATGTTTTATGAGTTGACAATAGGTTTGGTTAGGTAATCTAACCTACTTTCAAATTCATTCCTAAAAGCCGCTATGTCTGCACAATCACAGGTGTTCCTGATGGCATGGAATAGCTTTTAAATTTAGGCTGATTTGTCAACTATGACATTAACTATGTGAAAACAGCTTAGCTTCATTCATCCAGGCAATTTTTTGTATAGATCACTGCAATATATTATGGATACCACAATAAAGACAAGTTGGAAGTTTCAATTTGATGCTACTTATAGAAACTTGGGTACTGACTGGGATTGAGCATTATGACTATATTAAACCAATATTGCATCATCTTCACAGGCCTAAAATTCACTTCTGGACTCAGTTCAAGATGCTGGCAATAACCTTCAAACCTTTGGCCATAATAACAAAAGAAACTTTACTTCCTGTGTATGCTGGTTTATTGTGTCCTGGCATATAGTTAATTGAGAGCAGGAGTTCTCAATAATAGTTCCCTGGATAAAGAATTCACTTCCCAGAGAGATCCATCAAGAGCAGGTGTGTCAAACTCACATTGTCATGGTGTCGTCACGTGACATATCATGACTTTTCCCCTTCACTAAACTGGGCATGGGTGTGGTGTGGCCAGCATGTAATGCATGTGGTCTGTAGGCCGTGAATTTGACACCCCTGATCTAGAGTATATTCTGTAATTCTAGGAAGTGATGCAGGATAAAAGTATATGATGTTTATTAAGAGTTGTTCTGCCTCTGCTGACTAGAAACCAGGTGACTGTGAGCTCTAGTCCTGTTTTAGGCATAAAAGCTAACTTTGGGTGACTTTGGGCCAGTCACTCTCTCTCAGCCCAACCCACCTAACAGGGTTGTTGTTATGGGGAAAAAGAGGAAGAGGAAGGATTATGATGAAAATTCAACACTTTGAGTTACTTATAAAATAATAAAGGTGGGATAAAAATCTAATAAACAGATAAATCATTGGAAAGTATCAGGGTTCTTTAGTGATCTTTCCCTCCAGAAGGAAACCTGATTCATGTGGAATTGTCACTGGGTTGATTGCAGGATGTGTAAGTTGTGTGTGTCTAAAAACTTCAATTGAAGTTCCTGTCATGTATCAACATTATTATTATCATTTTTATCTTCTGTAGGAACTATGTTATTACCCAAGTTCTCCACCTTGGCTACTTTAAGATGGATGGATTCAACTCCCAGAATTCTCTAGTCAAGTCTACTCATCTTAAAGTGGCCAAGGTGGAAAAGCATAGCCCTTTAGGAACATCAGTACTTGCAACTCTTGAGGTGAATATACCCTTTCTTCTAATTCGGGACTGTAAGCACACAACGAAATGGTTGGATTAAAGTATCTCCTATACTCCTTGAACCTTAACATATGCTGCCCTAATCGCCCAGCCCTCTTCTGTCTCAATGAGGAGGCCAGAAAGTTAAAGGCTTTAACACTTTAATGCTGTGAAGCAAATCAAAGAAAGCAACTGGAAATTCCCTTGGATTTCTTCCTCCTTCCAGAAGCCAGCATTGTTGCAGCTCAAGTAAGAGATGGATCTTGCTTACTGCTGACAGTTCCCTCTTAGTTCACACTGTGCTCCTCTGTGCCTGCAGCCTGATAGCTGAGCTAATTTTTTGGTACAGGCTTAGCACTCTTTCAGAAAAGGATTAGATCTTGTGTCCAAACATACCCTGGCTGACAGGTTGCCGGTGCAAAGCATTTCCATGCCAGCCACTTGTTAGATGGCCAACTTGATTAACCCCAACGTTCCAAGTACCAGCTCATCTTGTTTCAACCTAAGAAACTAATTTAGAAGAAGTTATTGGTATCTCTTTTCCTGTTATAGAACCAGGTGTCTTTTTGTGTATGTAACTCTAGTCAAAATGGCCATGGAGCACATAGATTGAAAAGGAGTGTTTCTTCTCTGGCCTAAAATGATCAATGGGCAGATTTCATCATGACTCCATCAGCAACTACACCAATGAACAAGGATCAATTTTCCCCCCAGCTCTTATTTTTGTTTGAGGTGAGGATAAAAAGACAAAAGTCAAGCTTTGCAGATTATTTATTTTACACATTGGGGGTGGAGATGAGTACTTGAAATGAAGGAAACTGCAATCTCTTTGGAACTGAGCTGGAGGACATAAGTAATCCACTCATTACACATCCTGCCATGGAGCCTAGATCAAGACTTGGAGATCATTTCTCAACAATGTCTATGGAGATTCTCAGTCATCCAGGTCATGGTTGTCCCAAAGGTGCTTTTTCAAGAGGCAACTGGACTGTCTAGTTTTTCTTTGAAGATGTTTCACTTCTCATCCAAGAAGCTTTCTTCTTCTTGGATGAGAAGTGAAACGTCTGAAGAAGCTTCTTGAATGAGAAGCGAAATGTCTTCAAAGAAAAACCAGAAAGTCCAGTTGCCTCTTGAAAAAGCACTTTTGGAATTTCTCAACAATCATTCTCTCAGAAACATCCTTGCATGAGATGTGTGGAAGTCAGGCATCAAAAGCTCAAGGCTTTTGATGAATTACAGCTGTTTGCAGTGCACTACACTCTGCCAAATATGCAAAGGTACCTTTTGAGACCAATCAGTGCATAATGTAAACAGCATAGAGGTATTTTCCCTGGAGGTACAAAAATTTGAAAACCCTTGACTAAAATTAATTCCAACTAGTCCTATTGTAGCACCTTCAATAAGGAATCCTCCTGATGTCTTAAAGAGTCATAGTATTTGGACTAAGGTTTAATAGACTGCTCCAGGTGTTCTGAACCTGCAACCCTCCAGATGTTGATGAATCTCAGCTACCATGGCCAGTGTCCCCACTGGAAACTACAATTCAGCAGCAACTGGTAAGCCACAGAATATGAAGTAGAGGCCACTTTTCCAATGCACTAAGTTTAAATGAAGATAATATACAACTGAATATACACGTTGGAGCAGACTCCTTAAACATAAACATTCTCTGGTTTGAAGGGCTTCAGAGACAGACAGGAATCTGCGATCGTGCGCGGTTTCTGTCTGGGCTCGCTGCTGGAGCGCCCCGAGCCGGCTGGTTTTGGGGCTTAGCCACCCCATAGAGGTGGTGAAGAGGGGGGAGACCGCCAGCAGGGTCGAGGAGAGCCGCATCTCTCCTCCTCAGCTGGCCATTACTTCCTTTCCCGAAGGCGGTAGGAGCGGTGGTCAGAAATGGCCACCTCAAAGAAGAACTCAACCGGAAAAGAACGTGCAGGAGGAAGATAAGAAGTGAAAGTTTTGGCTTACCAGGTTAAGTTGAAAAAGCAACAACTAAGGTACCCTGGAATTTAAATTTTACAAAAATAACATCGCTCCCAAAGAAGAGTCGGAAGCAGCGAAAGAAAGCAAAAAGGGAAAGGTTTGGCTTTTTTCCCCTCTCTCCTTCCCTATATTGACAACTAAGAGACTTAAATAAGAAATTGGAAAAATCCGCTTTGGCATCAACAGGCAATTAAGCTGAAAATAAAACAAAATGCCAAAGGGACAATAACATTTCTGGACATTAAAACCTTTTTCTTCTATAAGCAGGAAGGGAGAGAAAAAGAATAAGGGCAGGATCTGGAAGAGGGAGTAGACTGCCTGGACTTTAAAAGAATCTAAAGTAAAACTTCAATAAGACTTCTAAAAGATACATTTTAACTGAAACTTTGCAACTAAATAGTAACCCCAGGAAGAGAAAGTGAAAAAAAAAGAAAGCGCAAAAAAGAAACAGCTTGCGTGTATTTGGATTATTTGGTGACTTTTGGATTTTTGGTTATTATGTTTGAATGACTAAAATCAATCGGGTGGTTGTTTAAAAATTTATACAATGGCATCACTTCTGGATGAATTGAAAATGGAACTTAAAAAGTACAAAGAAGATGCACAAGAAGGGAAGGGTTCTTTTGGCTTCGTTTTTCAATTCTTAGAAATGGAGATCTGGAACTATGAGAAACAACAAGAAAAGACTGCAAAACAAGAAGACTGGGACAAAGAAGAAGCCATCTTTAATGAACAAGTAACTCTATGTGGGGAAGAAAAAGGAAAGGGGGGAAAGAGAATGGAGAATTTAAGACTTAAAAAAACAACCAAAGAAAAGAAAAATAATTCAAAAAATAAGTATAATACTGGAAAGCAACAGAAAAGGGGAATACAGAAGAGAGAAATAGAGGTAGAGAGACAAGGGGGTAAAAAGGGGAGAGAGAAGAAGAGAGGGAAGAAGGAAAGGAAAAGAAGTTACAAAGGTCCGGAGCAAGATATAAAGAAACAGGACCTATTTAGAGATAATGGGTGAAAATCTAACTGAAAAAGGGATTCTGTAAAGGTACATAAGATTGTATTGTTATATTTGTAATAGAAATAACTTTACAAAATTGGAAACAACATATGATTAGAATGAGGGATAAAATAGTTAGTGTAATTTAGTGAAATGTTTGTGAATAAAATAAATGAAATAAAATAAATGAGAAAATTGAATTAGGAAGGAATGGGAACATTTTAATTAGTCAAAGTTTTATAAAATATAAGTGAAGGGGGGGAATTAACTATGGAAAGTTTATAATTGTTCCCATAGAAGTATGATATTTAATTGAAAAGCAACATGAAAAATGTTAAGACTTTAATGAATATTAATATTAATGATAGAATTGAATTGGAATGGAATGTTGTTTTAATTATATACATTTATAATTTTTTTTCTTTTTTTTTTCAAGTATACAGTGTGTAGTTTAAGAATGTACCAAGCAGAATCCGAATGGAAGTTATGTATTATATTGAGTGTTACAACTTTAGGGGAAAGATATAAAGGCGTCATACTCCAATCAGTAACTACAGGAGAAATTTAATAAGTTTAATAAGAAAAGATAATAGACAATTGAAACAGGACAGACAAAAAATATAAATATAATGATTTGAATTGAGATGAAATAAATAAAATAAAATTGAGAAAATTAAAAGAGGGGAGAAGCTATGTAGAAAATGTAAAATAGTAATAAGATATGGAATAGAATATAAAAATGAGCATGAACCTGAATTTGTGTCTGTACGAAGAAATGTAACCCGGGATTATGCTGCTTTCAAAAAAGATGTTTTATTTGTATTTCTTTTCTTTTCGTGAAAACTCAAATAAAATTTACAAAAAACAAACAAACAACAACCATAAAAATTCTTACAGCCACTGGGACTTCCCCAATCTTATATTCTCCAAACATGCTGCATGTATAGATTCTGGGAGCTAAAGGGCATCAAGTTGAAGAAAGTTTCATTCTCTTTGCTTTGAACTAGTATTGCTATCTTTTACAATAGTGTGGTAGGAAATATGAAAGGCAAAAGGAAGTGAAAGGGGTGGAGATTACACAGGGTTGTTCAGGCCTCTTGCAAAACTAGCAGAGAAGTTGAGGAAGCAAAAACCATTGCAACACACGAGGCCCTTAATGTCTCAGTTTCAGAAAGGCAGTTTTCAAACCATATACCCAGCCTGGCACCCTGCTGATGAATTAGACTGCAATGCCCATCATCTGGCTAAGTTCAATGAGGGATATCATAGTCTAAATAGAGTAGAAGAAGCCTATTCTACTGCAACCAATATGAAACATCTTACTATTGCATGGAGTAATAGAAAAATATTGTAATATATCTTACAGTACTGGATTAAGCCTTATTTATTTATTTATTTGTATCCCACCTTTATTATTTTTACAAATAAGTTGGAAAACATAACCAACACACCTTCCTCCACCTATTTTCTCCACAACAACAACCCTGTGAGGTCATTGGGCTGAGAAAGTGCTTGGCCCAAGATCACCTAGCTGGCTTTCATAGCTAAGGAGAGATTAGAACTCACAGTCTCCCACTTTCTAACCTGGTGCCTTAACCATTAGACAAAACTGGCCGGTTGATTTATTTGTTTGTCATTAATATGACAAATAGCTTCTTATTTCAGAAACAAGTGACTCTGGCTGGTGTATAACAAAACTAAAAAAAAATGAATATTTTCAAAACAATAAATATTATTTTAAAAGCTCTAAAAATATAAAAGCATAAAGCTAAAAGAGAAAAATAAATATTGGATGAAGACCAGGTATTAAAAAGAATGGAGCAATCTCAATATTTTACCAATCTCTTGGAGCCTCCAGCCTGGTCGTGCAGCATGCTTTCTCTACTGGACCTTATGGGACACGTAGATGTAATTGGGGAGAGGCAATCCCTCAAATTACTTGATCCCATGCCATCTAGGACTTTTCAAGGTAAAAACCAGCACCTTGAATTGGTGGCTGGTGACCAATGCAGCTTGCAGAGCAGATGTTTAACATGTTCTTCTAGAAACACACAAAGCTACTCATGCTGCTGCATTCTTTGCCAGCTGAAATTGACTCATGACGAGGGCATGAGTGGTCTGAGTAAAGCCACTCGATCTAGGAACAGGGCCAGTGATACACAAAATGAATTTGAGCAAAGGTCCTTCTAGCTATGATTGCCACTGGTATTTGAGTAGGACATGTAAGTCTAGGAGGACTCCACAGATTGTACACAGGGCTTGTCTAGGACAATGCAAAACTATCCAACACTGAAGATGGGATCGTTTTAGATCTGGCAGGCCCCCAATCCCAAAGTCAATCTTGCCAAAATTTGGTTGAAGCCTGTTGTTCCTCATCCAGACCCTTGTAGCCTCCAGGCACTGAGATAAGATGTCCATAGCATTGCTTAATTTGCCAGGGTGAGAGATGTATAATTGGGTATCATCATGATATCACATGATACTTCATCTCATGGCAATGGAAGAGCTTACCCAGATGTCTCATACAGATGTTGAATAGGACTGGAGAGAGCACCCCACTCATTGGGGGGCCTGGGTGGGATCTTTTCTCTCCAATCACTACCAACTGGAATTGACCCCAGGATGCAGGATGAAACCAGCATAATACTGTGCCTCCCTTCTCCAATCCCCTGAGTCAATTTAGAAGAATACCCAGGTCCGAATCCTGACTGAAAGGAATCCAGATAATCTGCTTCATCTCAGGTCCTCTGAAGTTGTTGCTTCAGAGGTAAGATATTAAGAAACTACGCCCTCACCCAAACAAGACTTTCACATTGCTAAAACTCATTCCTTTTGGCTTTCTTAATAAACCAGCAGGACATGGAGCCAACGAGCAGGTGACTGCACTGAAAGGGCCCTAACCATTTCATCAGATTAAACAGATTCAACTGTTCCTACACAAAACTTCTCCCCAGATATTTCTTGGGACTTGCAACAAGGCCAATGTCCAGCTTGTGAGTAAATTTGAGCAAACCCTTGAAACATAAGGAAAATGCCCACTTGTGAATCAAATTATTTACCTCTTATAGTTGTCCTCTAGCTTTAAGTGGGCTATTAGCTATTAGTAATAAAAGTTGCTTTATCCAAATATACAGGATTGTTTAAAAATGCAAAATTAATCAGGACAACAGTGCAGTGAATTTATTGTGGCTATCACAGGAATTATCCAATTAACATACTCCATACTTGAATTAGAGCCATGGTGACACAGTGGTTAGAATGCAGTACTGCACGCTAACTCACTGCTCGCTCCAGGAGTTTGATACTGACGAACTCAAGGTGGACTCAGTCTATCTATCTATCTATCTATCTATCTATCTATCTATCTATCTATCTATCTATCTATCTATCTATCTATCTCTCGTATCTACTATCATATTAAGAAACCACCCATGTCTCTCATAGATCAACTCTGAGCAATGCATAAAGCACAACAATTCTGGAAAAATGATTCATTCTAGAATGAAAAAAAAGTTGAATTCCCATTTCAATATAAGATATCACTGAAGATATCATCTTCTCTACGTATAGTGAATTAACATTTTGCATTATAACTGATGCAAAGGCATGCTTCTTCCTGGAAAGGTTGTCTGATTCCTTCCACAAAAGAATGGTTAACCAAATCCCAAGAGTATTTTTCAAGGTCTAAAACTTCATATTTTAAAAATCAAAATTATTAGCAATTTGAAAAAAAATCTCTATAAAAAGTGAGGAGATTTGGGGCTTTTCATTGAGTAAGAAAGACAAACGTAAGTACTGAACCAACATTTCTTTTTTGCACAGATACCAAATTAGGTGATGTAGTAAACATGGGATAGGTTAGGGGTGTCAAATTCGCATCATAACATTGTCATCACGTGACATATCATGACTTTTTTCTCCTTCACTAAAATGGGATAGATAAAATAGTAACCTCCTTCTCATTATCTACAGAAGGAGGTTGCTGCAGAAGGAATTCACTATCCAAAGAATGGGTAGTAATGTTCTTTTAAAACTGTGTACAGTAAGTTGAATTCATAGAGGATCAGGCTATTAATGTCTCAGCTTCTGATAGCTGGGGTTGTCCATCTGCTTAAAAAAAAAACCCTGGCATTTCACCATACGTATATGGTTCTTTCCATTCTCTTAATACATGAATAAACTTAGAACATTTTAGTCAGTTGTCTCGTCTAGAGTTAGTCATTAGTGGCATTTGCAAGAGGAAGAAACGGAAAGTGTCTTTTTGGGTCATTTAGACATTGGAAATATCCAAACCACAAACAAGTAGGCACAATTTAAATATTTCCTCTAAAAACACCTAGTAGATACAATGGATAGCATAACTCCCAGTGCTGCAAAAGTAAGAATGCTTCAACCAAGAAAATGAGCGCAGAAAGTTTGGAGTGGAATTATGTGAGAAATAAACTATGTGCTTAAATCTAGTATTACCAAAGGTAATTTGTTCGAAAAAAATGTGCTCAAACAAATCCCAGACTTGGACTTTTGAAATAAGTCCAAGGACCTACTATCTCATGGGAAGACCACTGTATCCAGAAATTAATGAATTTAAACACACAACTTAGCAGATACAATTAAAAAACAAAACCAAAGGAGCATATGTCATTTTGTAAAACCAGTTAAAAAACCACGATGACCATACTTCCTGCTTAAAGACAAATAGCATTGTCGAAATCTTACCAAAATTAGTAGATAAGATTAGTAGAAACGAAAATGGGAATGTTGGAAACATTATAGCCGGTGATAATTTTTGTACTGTATTTCCAATAGAGAGATAACACAATTTAATTATTCATTAATGTATTAAATGCATGCGGCCACCCATCACACAACTAACAATATTAAAAAAAAACAATAGAACACATTTTTAAGCCACAAAAATAGCAGCCAGGAATGAACGAACATATCACAACAATTAATATAATAATAAAACAGGCATCCATTTGCCATCTGTTCCATCAGAGCTTCAGAAATAAAATAAAATATTTTTTTCTCCAAAGACAAGCAACACGTTACCTTGATAGTATGCAGCCATCATCATATTATGCCTTCTGAATTTACCACATGTGTAGAAATACTTCAAGACGATAACCCCAAGGGGTTTTTTTTTTCAGTAACTTCTCCAATCAGCTACCAATCTTGGCACTGCTGCTTTGCCTATTTCTCCTTCAACCTGTCTCATTTGGGTTAGGCAATTAGAAAAAAAATGCGAAATATAGATAAATGGGAAGATACTAGCGGGGGAAATGATTCATTAAAGTTGATGCAATGCTTAAAGCAGACGTGCTCTTTTAAAAGGCTCATGTGGGATTTTTTTTTTTAAAAAAAGAGGTTTGAATACCTCTTGAGAGGTGCTATGCTTACATGTGGTCTAAGGGTTCACTTAACAACTGTGTTACTAACCTAATAACTGCAGGGATTCATTTAACAACTGTGGCAAAAATGAAACACAATGGGAGAGAAAACAAAGAACAGCAGGTGTAATAACCCATAGTTCACAAGTCATGCAGAGTCCCCAGCAAAATATAAAATGGGGCAAAACTAACACTAACAACTATCTTGCTTAGCAACAGAAAATTTGGGCTCAAATTTTCAAATTATAAGCCAAAGACTGTCTGTATTCAAGAGTTTTAGCCAGTGAAATTGAGCATGCTGTAGGTTCTGAACTGCAGAGATTTCAAGAAAAAGACCTCTCTTCTGGTTTTGTCAATGCAAGTTAGTAAGAAAATTCAGATAAGGGATAAGGGATATGGTAAAGCAGAGGCCTCCAAACTTGGCAAGAGTTATGGACTTCAACTCCCAGAATTCCTCAGCCAGCGAACTGAGCACAAGTCTTAAAGTTGCCAAGTTTGGGGACCCCTGTGGTAGATACTTCCAAGGTCACTGAAATTTTGCTGGGGACTCTGCATGACTTGTGAACTATGGGTTATTACACCTGCTGTTCTTTGCTTTCTCTCCCATTGTGTTTCGTTCCTTCTCCTGCATCTGCAGCAGGAAGGGAGCAAGTGGGGGAAGAAATGGCACCAAATGGCAAATGGTTTCAGGATGTCATAACTCAGCTGATGTATGCCATACAACTTATGTCACTTCTGTGATAACATCTTGAAGCACCAGATGTCATTTTCAGTTATATCAGATCGAAGTAATTTTTTTAAAGCAGTTCTTTAGAAAATAAAAAAAAACTGATAACTTTGAATTTTACTTTTCTAATGATTCATAATTCACTATTCTGTTTGTAACATTCAACAAAAAATGAAGGTCAAAACAAGTTGTCATGCTTTCTGGTCCCACTATTTTTTTTCATCATTGCAGCCCTTAGTTACAGCAATGAACTTGTTCTACTTACAGGTACCATGCTACAAAGTTCTGCATTTATTTTGATTTAATGCAATATTGATAATAATAAGGCCTTTGTGAAGGTCTCGTTAAGTGGACAAAAATGCCAAATCCAATCTGAATATCTAGCTGACTGTGTGACAATCTAAAATAATAATAATAATAATAATAATAATAATAATAATAATAATAATAAGCTTGTGCGCTCTGAGGAAGATGAGAGCTACTGTATGCCAGAGTTTCAACCATACTGAACAAGTCTCACCAGAGAAGCCAAATGAAGAGTACCTTTCCCATAAACAATATGACGAGACACAATTTACATAAATTTTTACAGGATTGATCATCATCCTTATCAACAAGGACCGTGCTAGGTGTTGGAGTTCCTGGACATCAGGTGAAAAATAGGCTACAGGACTTAGGACTATTGGCTGAGCAACTGCAGGACTACTGGGAAAAATGTTATTTACCTGTTACACATACAGTATATGAAGACTGAAAACAAAGAAATAATGATCTGTTATTACAAATCCAATCCAACGAGAAGAAGATATCTGAAAAGAATGTGCTGGTTCTGGAAAGAACATCCAGAATCTGAAAGAACAGAACAGAGCAGAGGTGGTATTCAGCAGGTTCTGACTAGTTCTGAAGAACCGGTAGCAGAAATTTTGAGTAGTTCGGAGAACCAGCAAATACCACCTCTGACTGGAGATTTTACAGTATCCTTCCCCTGCCACACCCACCGAGCCATGCCCACAGAATGGGTAGTAAAAAAACGTTGAATCCCACCACTGGAACAGAGGCTAGCAGATAAATTTCAATTTATAATAAGAAATAAAGTATTCACTGAAGTAGAATTGGAGGAACTGCAAGGGTCTAGAGAGAGCAAAGAAATCGAAGCATTGCCAGAATAGCTTTGACTGTAGTGGCAAACTCCTTGAGTCGGTGATAATGGAAGCAAGCATAACTATTGAATCATTTTCATTCCCACGCCAGGCACTCTCACCTCTGCCTTCTTCTCAGAAAGAATAAAACCTTCTAAGCAAGACAAAAAAGGAACTGAAACAAAGAATAACTGAGCCTCCAGAAGAATGTAAAAACAAGGCCTGTGCTGTCCAGATAATTTATAGTTAATTGGGAATTGGGATAGTTAGTTAGGAATTGGGAGCTGTTCCCTTAAGGGAATGCATCATGGTAAATGTAGTTAAGGTATTTTGGGAAATGTAGTCCATATCATGTGGCCACATCTGTAATCCTGATTGGTCACTGAAGTGACTCTTGGTTGGGTTGTGGGAGGTTCCTTCTCTCTTGCCTGAACCCAGCATCATGCTGGCGTCTCACCTCCTTGCTCCTTCGATATGGGATGAAAGATTACCATCCTTTTACACTATGAATCAGCTATGCAAAGATTTGGACATTGAGATGAATCTCAATGTAACCGTGAGTTATATGAGGATACCTGATGAACCAATAAAGAAACTTTGTATGGATGTTTTGTAGAGTTATCTATCTGCCTTTATACATTCAGTCAGTAATTATAGAGGACAGAATAAGGCCACCTACACCAAAGCTTACAAAGAAACAGCTAGCACTAATACTAGTCCTTGACTTATGAGCACAATTGAGCCCAACATTTCTATTGCTAGGTGAGACATTTATTAAATGAGTTTAACCCCATTTTATGACCTTTCTTGCCACAGTTATTAAGTGAATCACTGCAGTTGTTAAATAACATGGTTGTTACTGGTTTCCCTGCTGACTTTGTTTCACAGAAGCTTACAAAAGGTGATCACATGACCCCTGGACTCTGCAACTGTCATAAATATGAGTCAGTTGGCAAGAGTCTACATTTTGATCACGTGACCATACGGATGCTGCAATGGTCATAAGTGTGAAAAATGATCATGTCAGCGCTGTTCTAACTTTGAATGCTCACTAAATGAACTGTTGTAAGTATAGAGCTACCTGTATTAAAATATGCCAATACAGTAATTTCAAATATAAGCATCAGCTCACTATATAGGAAGAAAACCAACTAATGGACAGCACAGCTGCAGGTAAACCTGAATGACTGGGATGCAAAACCAACCAACAAGAAAAATAGCCAAACTGTGTGCCACCAAAATAGAAGTTCTGAATGGAAAATAAGATCAGCCTGTTAAAATTAGATGCAAACAAGCTAGAACAGATGAAAGAAAATACTGGTAAGTTGAAGAACAAGACCAAAGAGTAGCTGATGAAGAAATATCACCTAGAAACAAGGAAGATCAAGGAATCACTGGAGATAATAAAGCAGCAAACAACAGTTATAGCTAAGATCAGCAGATACCGTGTTTCTCATAAAATAAGGCTGGGTCTTATTTTTTTTTTGAGCCCCGAAAAAATGGCTAGGACGTCTTTTCAGGGGTGACTTAATTTTCTCCCCCACACACAACCCAACCTAGAGTGCCCCATGCGCAGTCACCTCTCCACAAGACCACTTCTATCGGCTGATGGAAGCTCCCCAAAGGCAGAGTCACCAGCCGCATCTATCAGCTGGTAGAAGCGGCCTCGTGGAGAGTTGAGTGCGCATGGGCCGCTCTAGATGGAGGTGCGCGTGGGGGAGGAAATATATTGGCCGGTAGAAGCAGCCTCGGGGCGAGTGCCCACACGCACTCCCCTTGCCATGAAGCCATTTCTATTGGCCAATGGAAGCTCCCCAAAGGCAGAGTCACCAGCTGCTTCTATCAGCTGGTAGAAGCAGGTTTGTGGCAAAGGGAGTGTGCGTGGGGCACTTGCCCTGAGGCTGCTTCTACCGGCCGATAGAAGTGGCTGGTGTCTCTGCCTTCGGGGAGCTTCCATCAGCCAATAGAAACGATTTGTGGTGAGGGGAGTGCGCATGGGCGTTCGCCCCGAGGCTGCTTCTACCGGCCGATAGAAGCAGCTGGTGACTCTGCCTTCGGGGAGCTTCTATTGGCCGATGTTCTATTGGTAGTAGATTGGGGTATTCTATGTGCAGGGCACTCCTAAAGGCAAGTTTTCTCCCCCCTTTCCCGCCATTTCTTTTCACCTCATGTAGTTTTAACGAACGATGTGAGAAATGGCAGGGAAACGCATGGATTAAATAGGCCTAAATTTTGGGGGCAGGGCTTAATTTCACCTCATGCCTAGAAATCATGCTGGGTCTTCCTATTGGTGGAGGCCGTATTGTTGGAGAAACAGGGTAGGAAGCTCAAATTGCACACATTCGTCAAAATCTTAAATTTCAGTAGAATTAGAAGTATAGGCAGAATCATTCCTAATTCATCAATGAATGAGGAAACACCCGACAAAGAATAAACAGTGCAGTTCTGGGTCAGTACTGGGTGAAGATGAACTGCGTGGTTTTTGATTGAAACATCTGACTTGTTATAAAGCAGTTTAATAGCATTCAGTAAGGAGGGGAAGATTGGTTAACATCTGGCAAAAGCTATTTGACAATAAAAGTTCCAGCAAAAGGGACAGCACCAGGCAATTACAAGTCAATTACCTGCTTACCAACAACTTTCAAATTGCTAATTAAATGCAGTCCAACAGCATCTAGTTGAAAACAAGCTTCTGCCACCTGAACTGAGAGGAAACTACTGAAGTAACTGCCCAAACAAAAGATCAGCTCCTAATTGATAAAGGTGATTTTGAAAAACTGCAAGAGAAAGAACACCGATCTGAATATGGCTTAGAATAG